ACCCCACCCCAGGCCAGGCGGCAGAACCAGGTTTTCAAAGCCCTTCGGAAGGCCAGGAGTGAGGGGGCCTGTCTCACCTCTGGGGGCAGAATGTTCCAAAGAGCGGGGGCTACTGCAGAGAAGGCCTGCCTTCTGGACCCCGCTGGTCGACGTTCTTTCACTGAGGGGGTCCGAAGCAAGCCCTCTCTGTGTGATCGGGTGGGATGGGTTGAAGTCATAGGGGAGAGGCGGTCCCTTAGGTAACCTGGTCCCCTGCCCTGTAGGGCTTTAAAGGTGATAACCAACACCTTGAATTGGACCCAGAAGCAAACTGGCACCCAGTGCAGCTCGTGGAGCAGAGGCGTTACACGGGCCCTCCTTGGGGCTCCAACAATAGCCTGCGCGGCTGCATTTTGGACCAGCTGTAGCTTCTGGATACTCTTCAAGGGTAGCCCCATGTAGAGCGCATTGCAGTAGTCTATCTGGGAGATAACAAGGGCGTGAGTGACTGTTCGAAGGATATCACATGACCACACCAACCTATGATGGCAGTTCCAGTTGCTGTTGTTAGGTGAATCCTGCATGGTCCTAGGCGTGATGTCACATGATCACCATTTGTGACCTTCTGCTGGCTTCCCCATTGACTTTGCTTGTCGGAAGCTGGCAGGGAAGGTTGCAAATGGCAGCCATGTGACTGTGGGACACTGCAATGTCGTAATTGCGAGCTGGTTGCCGAGCACCCGAATCGCGGTCAGGTGACCACAGGGATGCTGTGATAGCCGCAGCTATAAGGACCAGTCGTAAGTCTCCTCATTCAGTGCTGTCGTAGCTTCGAATGGTCGCTGAACGAGTGGATGTTAAGCGAGGTCTACCTGTATGCATATATTCTCCTACATAATTTATACTCCTCAACAACCTTTTGAGACAGATTGGAGAGACAGAGGGAAGGTGTATGTGAAAGGAGATGAAATGTTAGCAACCAAGAAAGTGATTTAAAGTCTGAACGCAAAGAAACCAAGGATGGAGAAACGTAACTACCAGGCTGTTCTTTTGCTTAGCGACGAAGGCAGGATGGGCGGGTGTGTACGGCACCATTAGAAACAGCCAGCAGGCTTGGCGTTAATGGCTTTCACATTTTGCTTCTGGAGAAAAGGTGTGTAAGGCATATCACAACAACTTGGCCTGTTCCTTAGACACACTTCTCTGGCCCGCTTTCCTGTAGTCGGTAAAGTTGCGCAAGAAAACGAACTCAACTTCTCCATTTATTTGCGGTTGTCTTTTCAACAGTCAGGCTGTGCTAATGGTTTTCAGGAAGAGATGTGGTCAGTCCTCTTCCTTTCCGTGGAAAAAGGAAGCAGCTGTGCGTTCCAGAACAGCAGGGCAGAACCCTTTTATCTGAACGTTTTCTACAGTGCCCTTGCTCCGTAAACGGGTTCCAAGCTGAGGCACCAAA